TCTTAACCTCTCTCTTTTTCTCCATATACTCTTCCCTCCTTGCATCACTTCTACTTTGTAAAAACTTCTCATATGCTAACTTTTTCTCCTTACTACTCTCTTTACATCATCATTCCACCAATCGCTCCTCTTCCTCCCGCACCCACTTTCCTGTAACCACAAACTTCTGCTGAACACTAACACTACATTTTTAAACCTACCCCATACCTCTTCGATCCCATTGCCTATGCTCTCATTAGCCCATCTATCCTCCAATAGCTGTTTATATCTTACCCTAACTGCCTCCTCTTTTAGTTTATAAACCTTCACCTCTCTCTTCCCTGATGCTTCTATTCTCCTTGTATCCCATCTACCTTTTACTCTCAGTGTAGCTACAACTAGAAAGTGATCTGATATATCTGTGGCCCCTCTATAAACATGTACATCCTGAAGTCTACTCAACAGTCTTTTATCTACCAATACATAATCCAACAAACTACTGTCATTTCGCCCTACATCATATCTTGTATACTTATTTATCCTCTTTTTCTTAAAATATGTATTACCTATAACTAAACCCCTTTCTATACAAAGTTCAATCAAAGGGCTCCCATTATCATTTACACTTGGCACCCCAAACTTACCTACCACACCCTCTCTAAAAGTTTCTCCTACTTTAGCATTCAGGTCCCCTACCACAATTACTCTCTCATTAGTTCAAAGGTCCCTATACATTCACTTAACATCTCCCAAAATCTCTCTCTCTCCTCTACATTCCTCTCTTCTCCAGGTGCATACACGCTTATTATGACCCACTTTTCGCATCCAACCTTTACTTTAATCCACATAATTCTTGAATTTACACATTCATATTCTCTTTTCTCCTTCCATAACTGATCATTTAACATTACTGCTACCTCTTCCTTTGCTCTAACTCTCTCAGATACTCCAGATTTAATCCCATTTATTTCCCCCCACTGAAACTCCCCTACCCCCTTCAGCTTTGTTCGCTTAGGGCCAGGACATCCAACTTCTTTTCATTCATAACATCAGCAATCATCTGTTTCTTGTCATCCGCACTACATCCACGCACATTTAAGCATCCCAGTTTTATAAAGTTTTTCTTCTTCTCTTTTTTAGTAAATGTCTACAGGAGAAGGGGTTACTAGCCCATTGCTCCCGGCATTTTAGTCGCCTCATACGACACGCATGGCTTACGGAGGAAAGATTCTTTTCCACTTCCCCATGGACAATAGAAGAAATAAAGAAGAACAAGAGCTATTTAGAAAAAGGGGAAAACCTAGATGTTTGTATATATATATGCATGTGCGTGTCTGTGAAGTGTGACCAAAGTGTAAGTAGGAGTAGCAAGATATCCCTGTTATCTAGCATGTTTATGAGACAGAAAAAGAAACCAGCAAACCATACAAACCATATGAAAATATGCCGCTAAGGTGAGGCTAATGGCTGAGAAGTGAACTCCATTATTTATGGTCCGATTTCTTTCATTTTTGGTTTATGTTAAGAAGCATCTTTTCCTCATAGATTGCCCAAGTTTCAATAAGATAGTCCAACAAACAACTGATATCCTATTCCCTAGATCAAGAGCAAGAGCCCCCTCACCAGCGTTAATTAACCTCCCTTGAGACTCGCTCACATCTGAAAATTTTGCACACATCTGGAAGCAAAAAATCAACCAAGCAGCTGCTCATATCTGGAAAAACTCGCATGTGGATGCACTCGTAAATAGAGGTTCCACTGTATATACATCAAATATGGTGGCTCGTAAGACGTATATATATGACCAAAACAGTCAAAGGGTTAAACTAGTCACTGGGACAAGAGGTTTTAGCTTGACAACCAGAAGCTACTGATCCTAAACCAGTGTTCACTCCATGATCATTAATTCTAATGTCAGGCTTCTTCAGAGCATGCACCCCCTCCCCTTCTCCTTCCTCAATACCCTTCCTAATGTCAATAAACAAGTGAGGAGAAACATTAAGGCCCCACAGCTTGCAGCTAAGGTTACTTTCTATTCTGCCAGTTGCAGCTTTATAGGAAAATCATTCAAAAAATTACCAACAGCCTCATTTATTACACCAACCATTCCCACAAACAATTCATGAAACTCACAGCTCTTTCCATCACAAAGAACTTCTGTTACACACCACACACACACAAACACACACACAACACACACAAACACACATACACACACAACACAACACACACACACACACACACACACACACACACACACAACACACACACACACACACACACACACACACACACACAACAACGCCACACACACACACAACACGCCACACCACACAACACGCCACACACCCACAACACACGCGCAACACACGCGCAACACACGCGCAAACACACGCGCAACACACGCAACACACACGCAACGCACACGCAACACACACGCAACACACACACCTGAATAACCATTCAAAACTCGAACTATGATGCCTGTACATAAAATTATAATCATCCTCATCTAAATCTGCACAGGCAGCATGAAACTATATGCTACAAGAGACACATCTTATTGCCTTAGCATTTTCTCTAGCTTCAACTTCAAATACGGGACACTTGTCCTTACCTTTCACAACCATAGTTAACAAGTTCTCCCACTGTCTGGGGAAGCCCCAGCCAATGTTGACTTCAGTTTATCATCCACAGAAAGGTGTCTGCAAGGTTACCATGAGTAGACAGACCACATTTCATAATTCATCAACTCATGGTCACATTTATCAAATGCATTTGCAAAATCTGTGTATACATCAACATTCCTTTTATTCCAATGCCTTTGTGATTTTGTTATAAGTGGTCTACTAAAACTATGTTGTCTTAGAGTTGTGGAGTTTGTCTTGCACCAAAAAACTGGTAATTTGAATTATCAGTAGCCTTATGCATAAACTTGAAAATATGCTGAGCACCCTTGTTAGTGGAATTTAGTATTTTTGTTCATAAATATTGCATTCCACATCAGGCCCCAGGACAGCATGCATGAGCATTTTATCGATTCCCTCATCAAGTCCGTATGTAGGATTTTCATTTATACCAGTCAGATAATTTGTATGGCGAGATAGGTTATTGAAAAAACTCTAGGGGTACTACTCTCATTGTCTATCGAGTTGCTAAACGTGGATCTGCATTGTTCTGTAAGAATTTCATTCATTATTTAGTTGTCCTCTTTGTATGCACCTCCAAAGCAGGGAAAAAGGAGGCCAATTATGCTAGTATTTATTTAAATTTTTGCATGCAAAAAAATACTTTGGGTTGCTACCTATTTTCTTGATGGCACACTTGACTTTCAATACTAGGCAAGCTTTCAACTTCCCTGAAGGGCACTGGTTTTTGACAAAGCTAAACAATTAAAACCTCAAATATTTCCTAGCTAGTTTGTCAATTACTCGAGGCTTAAATAGTGGGTTATCAAACACTGCTGATGCAGGCTTTGTAGTAGTCTGCAAGACCTAACTCTTCCCTGGGCCCACTTGCTTCAACCTGTCTACCACATTAATAATTACCTTATATCACACATCCTCCTCCTCCTCCTCCTCGTCCCATCAAAAATATGTAAGCTCAAGTGATTAATTTTGGGACCATCAATGAACAAAAATGATAATTTGCATTTAAAATAACATCCTAAAAGGTCATAGCCTACATATCTTAAAATAGTAGAGCTGTTCTATATCTTGATAGCAGTACAGTCAGCAGAATGTGGCAACATAATATAGGACAGTGTTAAGCAGTGCTTCACTGTATTGATTACCATTTTGTTGTACAGTACTTAATGATGCACCAGTTATATGGCACTTCATTTTTCAGCCATCTAGGTTTGTTAAATGCTATTAGTTTTAGGCTGTGGAATAATGTGTATTGTTAACCTCAGGAGGCTTCAAGCAAAAACCAAGGCTGCAACTGACACTATCAATGACCTGCTATTTGCTGATGACTGCGCCCTCAACGCTGCTTCAGAAGCCACCATGCAGAACAGTGTTGACAAGTTCTCTGACGCCTGCAACAACTTCGGGCTGACAATCAGTACAACGAAGACTGAAGTGATGCACCAGCCTGCTCCGGGAAAGACGTACATTGAGCCAAACATCACCATCAACGGGCAGCGACTGAACGCCGTAGACAAATTCACCTACCTCGGCAGTACCTTTTCCAGAAACGCTGTCATCGATGATGAGGTGAATGCCAGACTTGCCAAAGCCAGTGCCACCTTCGGCAGGCTCCACAAGAATGTATGGAACCGAAGAGGCATCACCACAAGCACCAAGATCAAGGTGTAGAGAGTCATAGTCCTCACCACACTTCTCTATGGCTGCGAAACCTGGACTGTCTACAAATGTCACGCCAGAAAGTTGAACCACTTTCACACCACACAGCTCAGAAAAATTCTCGGCATCAAATGGCAAGATAAGATCCCAGACACAGAAGTGCTGACTACAGCTGGCCTGCCTAACATCTACACCATCCTAATGCAGACACAGCTTCGCTGGGCAGGTCACGTCGCTCGCATGCCAGACCACCGGCTGCCAAAGAAACTCTTGTTTGGCGAACTGCAGCATGGAAAGCGCTCTCAAGGAGGCCAAAAGAAGTGCTACAAGGACATCCTTAAGATTGCTCTGAAAGCTTTCAACATCAACCACACCATGTGGGAGCTGATAGCTCAGGACAGGAATGACTGGCAGGGCAGTTGTCCATCAGACCCCTCAATGCCGCCACCCTTCCCTGTCCACACTGTCAGAGAACGTTTCGTGTACGGATTGGCCTGACAAGTCATCTGCGTACCCACCAACTTCGACCCCAGGATGACTAGATGGTCCTCGTCGAATCGACGGACAAACAAGATTAATTACATGAACACATTAAGGAAAATTCAGTGATTTTGAGTCCAAATACATGCTTCACTCATAAAACATTAAATATGCTCCAGTTATTATACAAAAAAAGTATGAAAAGGGCATCTTGCGAGACCACTGATACATTACCTAAGGAAAATATTGTTTATTTGCTTTCTGATGAATGCTCTGAGACCCAGAAACTTTCCATATATCCTATGTAGGACAGTCTTGAGGAAGTCTCTCTCTCGAGGATCTTCACTATCAAACAGTTCCAAGAGCTGAAAATAAACAAAATGATTAAAAAATAATGTCCACTTGAAGGAAGAAGAGCATAAGTTTGTCTCACTGTTGAGGCTCTACTACAATATTATGTGACAATTCACTAATAGTGAACTCTCAGTAGCTGTCATAAATATGCATGTGTATAAGCTAATCACACAGATAAGATCACACACACACCATAATATACTGATTTAACATAAAAATACTGAAACATGTACAGGAGGGCTCTGCTTTACAGCATTTCACTAATGCGATAGTTTTCAGTTATACCCATTCTTCATTTATTCAGACTTCCTACAAAAAATATATTCACCACTCATTATAAGCTAAGAATGAAAATATTTTAAGGTAAGTTGTGTGTGTCTAGGCTGGTAGGCAGCAACTGCCCAAGGAAGGTACTACCGTCCTGCCAAGCGAGCGTGAAATGGAAGCCTGTAATTGTTTTACATGATGGTAGGATTGCTGGTGTCTTTTTTCTGTCTAAAACATACAATATTTCAGGTATGTCTTGCTACTTCTACTTACACTTAAGTCACACTACACATGCATGTACAAGTTTATATATATACACACACACACCCCTCTGGGATTTCTTTTTTCTTACTAGTTCTTGGTCTTGTTTATTTCCTCTTATTTCCATGGGGAAGTGGAACATAATTCTTCCTCCGTAAGCCATGCATGTCATAAGAGGGGACTAAAATGCCGGAAGCAAGGGGGCTAGTAACCCCGTCTCCTGTATACATTACTAAATTTAAAGGGAGAAACTTTTGTTTTTCTTTTTAGGCCACCCTGCCCTTGTGGGATACAGCTGGTTTGTTGAAAGAAGTAATGTGTGCATTGTATATGCACACATTACTTGTACTTAACTCAGTGGTGACCTGTACAGTGGACCCTCAGTTAATGATATTAATCCGTTCCAGAGAGCTTGTCCTTAACCGATTATCATTATCTGATTTAATTTTCCCCATAAGAAATAATGGAAATCCAATTAATCTGTTCCTGCTGTCAGGAGGCATGACAGAATAGTACTTCAATATGACGCTATTATCAACTCTACGGCTTATTTATCTAACACTATTCATCTAATATGACATAAACAATATTAATAACAAAGAAACATGATACATGTATATACTCTAGAATGAATAAAATATATTATAATGTATGAGAGGAGTAAGCGCTAGAAGTGTTGTTGTTGGGTTTATAATGGTCACTGAGAGAAGCCGTACATAGTGGTGAAGGAGGCTTCTGCCCACCACCACTATCCACAAACAATATATGTACGTAATTTATAAATAAGAAATATTTACATTTTAATTTATAAATAAGAAATATTTGCACTTACCTTGGAGGAGATGTTTGTTTAATTACGTAGTTAGTTTGGAGTGTAGCAGTCATGCTTGGAGTGTAGCAGGCATGCAGGGAGAGTAGCAGGCATGCAGGGAGAGTAGCAGGCATGCAGGGAGTGTAGCAGGCAAGCAGGGAGTGCAGCAGGCATGCAGGGAGTGCAGCAGGCATGCAGGGAGTGCAGCAGGCATGCAGGGAGTGTAGTAGGCATGCAGGGAGTGTAGTAGGCATGCAGGGAGTGTAACAGGCATGCAGGGAGTGTAGCAGGCATGCAGGGAGTGTAGTAGGCATGCAGGGAGTGTAGTAGGCATGCAGGGAGTGTAGTAGGCATGCAGGGAGTGTAGTGGGCATGCAGGGAGTGTAGTAGGCATGCAGGGAGTGTAGTAGGCATGCAGGGAGTGTAGCAGGCATGCAGGGAGTGTAGTAGGCATGCAGGGAGTGTAGCAGGCATGCAGGGAGTGTAGCAGGCATGCAGGGAGTGTAGCAGGCATGCAGGGAGTGTAGTAGGCATGCAGGGAGTGTAGCAGGCATGCAGGGAGTGTAGTAGGCATGCAGGGAGTGTAGCAGGCATGCAGGGAGTGTAGTAGGCATGCAGGGAGTGTAGTAGGCATGCAGGGAGTGTAGCAGGCATGCAGGGAGTGTAGCAGGCATGCAGGGAGTGTAGCAGGCATGCAGGGAGTGTAGCAGGCATGCAGGGAGTGTAGTAGGCATATCATGTGGGAGTTCGATACGTGGATTAGGGAAGTCCGACCTCGGACACGCAGGTGAGAACCAGATACTCCACTAAGGGAGGGCACAGGAGTCGGTTCTACGAGAAGGACATGTCGTAACTTCTTATCCTTAAACAAACTAGACCTAATAATATTGATTTGCGCACCAGAGTCCATGAACAATTGAACGGGCGCATTATAAACAGATGCTTGCACTATAGGGCCTATGGTTGCATTGGAAGTTATGTGCAAACAAAAAGGTGGATTTCATCAGAAAAGACTTGTTCTACTCCATCCCCAAAATCATCTATGTCAGAGACATGTGAAGCAACAACCTCAGCAGGGTTGTCATTCTCGAGACTGCTTAAGGCTTCAAAGGAATTGTGAACGGGGATGGTGTACTCATTATCACCTACTGTCACCATGGGACGGTTTGACTGGGGCGCTCGAATTCCCCCGAATTGGAAGAACGAGCCTGGTTCTGGTTAGTTTGAGAATTGAATGAATGAGCCTGGTTCTGGTTATTTTGAGAACCACGATATCTGTTTCCTTGACGGGTTCTGCGGTTGGAACGACCACGGAAAGACCTAGAGTACTGAAGGTTATAGAGAGCATTGCACTCAGATGTGTCATGTCCATGTATTCTATGATAAGTACAGTAGGGAAGATCTGAGTACTCATCATCAGTACGACGTCTCTTAGGGTAACTATCAGGACAATTAATTGCAATATGGCCACGGAAACCACAGTTATAACAATTCCGCCGACTATGGTTACTGAATGTACTATGAATACTACGAGGTGTATAACGACTCTGTACACTGGTTCTTGATGATCTCTGAGCTTCCTGGCTTAGTTCGTGTGCTAATTGCTTCAATCTCCGAGGGGTTGACCCGGATTTTGCAATTAAGCCAGTCAGTAAGCCAGACTGTGGAAGTGAACGCCAGTCAGCCTATCATCCAGCCTGTCTCCTGTCATCCAACTGCTCCTCCGTGCTTTGTGCATCGTTACACGTCTTCCAGTCAGCCATTCTCGTGGGGTAAGCCAGTCAGCCAACCCAGCTGAGAGAGAGAAGTAAGCCATGCAGTAAGAAGTAAGCCAAGTTCCTCTGAGGTTTTGTCTATATCGCTTTGTGCTCCCTGTTGGATGCTAAGAGTGGTTTTCACCATTCCTGTGGCATAGAGTGGGTTATCAAGCCACCTTCGTGGGTAGAGGGGGGTGCGTGGCAGTACCCAGCGAGAGTCACACCCACCACTCTCTCCCACCACCCCTCTCTCCCACCACCCCCAGCCACCCCCCCATCTCCCTGGGGTTGTTTGCCCCCTTGTACGGGTCCTAGTACTTTTTTTGGCCAAAAAATTGGTCGAGATTGTAGCGGGTCCACCGATAAACCTTTATGTGATTTTCGCCTAAAAAGCACTTTCTTCACGACACGTTAGTGGAGAGGAAAACACCCCCCGCCCCTCACTCGCACCGCCCGTCTACTCTCCAGATCCAGTGATAATTTTCTTGGAATTTTTCTTGCATTTAAAAGAATTTGCGTGTGTGAGACATTTTAGTAAATTTGTTGTGCTCAAAAACCTTGTGTTTTTCAGTGAAAACCCTGTTTTTTCTTTGACTAGTTTTTTAAAATATTTTTCAGTGTTTTCACTTTCTTATATTTTTTTTTCTGTTTTTTTTTCTTATGTACTCGTCGTGAAAAGATTATTGTGTTTCCCCAGTCACCCACCCTGTGTAAAGTGATTCTTTTTTTTTTTTGTATTCTTTCAGCTTGTATCCCCAGTAAATTTTACCCCAGTATCCCAAAATTTTTTCCATTTATTTCTGTGTGTTTTTTTTTTTCGTATGCCCAGTGTCTATTCTCAAATTTTTTTCGAAACTGTGTACCTTTTAAATTTTTGCCACAAATTTTTGTGTATAAATCCCAGATTTTTTGTTTCATCACAGCAGGAATTTGTTGTAAGAATAAACAATACTGTTTGTGCCCGCCACGTAAGTGATTTCCCGTTTTTGTTCCTGTGTTTTATTTTTTTTCATATAATTCTGAACAAATTCACTCTTGATGAAATTTAAATTTACTTTTAAACGTAAGTGTTTTTTTCTCTGAGTAAATTTTTTGTCTTTTTTACAATTAAGAGTTAAATGTTCAATCAGTTTTTTTTTTTTGGTCTTATTTTTTTAATTTTTTTTTTACCTAGTTTTCCCGGGACACTTTATTACTGAGGATTTTTTCTACACTTTTTTTTGTTGCACTTGTTCTGAAGTAAATTTTATTTTAATTTGTCTATGCATTCTTGAATACTTAAATTTTTCCCAGTTTAACAATTTAATAATTTTTTTTTAACTTTACATTGTTTTTAAAAATTTAATTATTAATTTCTTTATTAGCAAGGTAAAGACAGCTCATTTTGAATTTAATTCGTCTCCAGTAATATTTTTATTGATATTTCATGTAAATTTTTTTTTTTTCTTGGCAATAGCCCTTTAAATTATGCCCTTCCTGCAGTTATTTAGCTTTTTTTTTTAAAATGCAAAATTAGTTGTATATTTTTTTTTTATTTCTTTTCTAAAAATTTTTTTTCATTTTTATGTTCATTATTTTTCCTTATTTGTTCTCGTGTTATTTTTGCCTTTTATGTCTCACTCCGTAAAGTGATATTTTGAATGTACATCAGACCTCTCAGGCTATTGCGCTGCGTCTCTCCCAATTCCCTTACTGACGAAAGAAAATACCAGCCCTCGGAAATGTGTTTGTTCCACATTGTATTGAGTTTTTGTAAAGTGCTGCAAATGTAATTTCAGATTAAGTTCCAAACCCCGGAAATTTTATTTTTAATTGCCGAGCGGTCGGCACAGTAAACTGTCACCTGTCGGGGACTCCGCCACAATATAAGCACGCACGATAGTGCCAACCTTGGATGGCGACTTGTTCAAGTATT